TATATATATATATATATTTCGCGTGAAGTCATAAAAAGATATATTTTTCGACATAGAAACAAATATATTCCCGTGCATTGTGTAAATATATCACACATCGACGTTGTGCTTCTTTTCCGGGGAGAGAGAGAAACAGTACGTACTATACAATGTCCGATCACTTATCTCGTATCTCGAAGTCTTTTTCTTCTTTTTTGTATACGAGATAGGGAGAACGGATTGCGCGCGTCGTTTTCATCGCGGAGAAACTTTGCAGATCCTGTATTTCGTGTAGGCGTTGCAAACTTTCAGATGGGAACGCGCGCGCGCACGTCTTCTTCGAGGGGTATCCAACGGCGCGTTTCGATTTTTCCGAAAAAGGAACATTGTCGGACGTCTCTGTTGTTTGTCCGGCACTGTTCCTGAGATTCCTGCCGCCCTTCGGTCCGTACGTTTCGGACCTTCCCCTCTCACTATACTATATCATAGCGAAATAATCGGTTTGGATGTGACTTCGTAAGGGGACACACCAAGGCGCTACGTTTATTAAGAGAAGAGATATAACTAATTTAACTAGACTAGAAGTTTTTCAGAGGAGACGTATACTTAATTCGAAATTCTTACACTGTTACGATATCGTTTATGATCTGCGAAACAACGCAAGTAATAACAACAAAGTCTTGCGGATGTTTAGATGCCTACTGTTTCGATGCAGCAGAAACGTTCAACTATTGATTGCAGTATTACTAAATGTATACAGATTAAATGTAACACACTCTACACATAAAACACACACACACACGCACACAACACACACAATACTGTCAATATACACTTGCGCAACCTACGAGAAGACTTTGTAAATAGTTAGAATATAATTGATATTAGGCGCCAAGATGTATTAAGAATAACATCAAATTTATTCCGAATAAATCTTCCGAACTATCGCATAAACATGTCTTATTATCTTTCATGTCCCATTCCAAAAAAATGTCCTTAATGCGATACATACAATATTATAATTATAAGAAACATAATTTATATATCTTTTATGCAACGTAAAAATGTCATATTTTAGATATATATGCAATAATATTATACACTTCTTTTTGTTATGCATTACACTGTTTCAAGGTTGTAAGCTTATAAATAAGTCACAAAGATACAAAAAAAGAATTTATTTTCTAAAGATAATTTATACGTTGTTTTATTATACAGAAGTTTTAAATTACATATTTATACATTATACGCTTTTCATGGCTTTACCAATGTGTGTTAACAAATGTCTTTTTAAATGTGGCATATTTTTTGGCTGCGTCGAACATTTGTGACACTTCAATTTTGTGTTCAGATAGTCTGTACACACCTGCGGAGAAATCTTTTCGATTTTGCCGTCTATGCGCAACTGACGGCATACATCTAAAATTCAATATGCTTTTATATGTAAATTATAATATAAATAAACATATGATACAAACCTTGCGAATGTAAAAAGAATGGTGTCGTAAAGGAGTTCCAATGATATTTAGTTTTAAGAAAAGGACTATTAAAATCCGTGCTTATTACATGTAGGTGCAGTCTCTGCATACTTGGCATCGCATGATAACCTATGCTGCTCAAAAATTATTGTCTTATAATTCTCAAATATATAAAAATAATTCTGTGTTACATTTTTTCTATATATTATATATATGTCTTATATATGTGAGATAGCATACATATACATTCTTATTTTGTCGTATGTGTTATTTTTTTTTAATTTATATTAAAATAATTTTAAATAAAAATCATTTAAATAAAATAAATAATAAAAATAAATAAATAAATTATTTAAATATTTTAAATAAATTTAGTAATAGAATTAATTACTATTTATTATTACTATTTATTAATACTATTAATACTGTCCTACTTTAAGACTCACAGGAATTCATGTTCTGTTTGGTTTTTTGTCAGATCACATGCAACATCATGCATATATGTTAACAAATCTTGATGTTCTTTTTTGACACGCCATATATTAAGAATATCCTCCTTCGGTAAAACCAAATAATGAAATTGCGCTTTAGGATATTTATCTTTGATAACAACTATTTTATCATCTTCTCTGATTTTACATTCAGGATCCTCTATTGATTTAAGTAAATTAGCTGACCAATGATGTTTTTTTGCAGTCGCTATTTCATTAGTTGTGGCTTTACGTTTCATTATCACAATTATAAATCGTAGTCGTTGAATGATGCTGTTAGACATTTACCTAAAAAAATATATATATAAATATATTATGTATATGTATATATATATATGTGTGTGTATGTGTGTGTGTGTGTGTGTATCTATACATATACATAAATTTATATACATACATGTATAGTTATGTTAAAACAAAAGTTTATAGCACTATGAATTACAAAATTCACACAACTGTAACTTCGTTATTAAAAATAAATGAATTTAAATTTAAAAAAGAAATTTTAAAACTTAAAATATTCATTTTTGAAAAGTCACTATATTTTAGAATTTCTGTAGTTTGATAATTTTTTGATATGAGAAACAACGAGTTGAACAAATTGAAAATTTTCTTTTTTATAAGATCTGTCATGTAACCAAGATATTTTCGAAAGTGAAAGTTTAAAATTTTTTTCTATCAATTCTTTTCAGAAATATTCTTAAAATTTTTGTTACTGAATTATCGTGTATTAAATAAAAGAAGAAGTTTGACTTTAAATATTACTGCCGATTACGAAATTAGTACTTCTAACCTACAACATGTACATAGTGAAGTAGCTTCCATATTTTGATTTGCACTCTCAATATATAACATAATTCTTGAATTCTGTATATCTGTATATAAATAAAAACAAGAGAGTCATACGAATTAAATGATCTAAAAATACGAGATCTAACCAACAAACATCAACTTCAAAACACTTGGAAAATGAATGGTTAGGATTGTTGAAATCGCCCGTATACTACCGCCAGTACATCCACTTTCAGTTTGGGAACTACGTGACTACATACATTTTCTGACACTATCGATAAAATCATATCATCGATAGTAGATGTGATTCGTCTCTGTACTCAGAATCCTCAAAATAGAAGCGTGCCATTGAACTATCCATAGGAGGGAACAAAAAAATTTCGCATATATTCGCATATGTCTTCTACATATGTAAATAAGAATTGTTGAATATTAATAAACGGAATTGAAAATTCAAACAAGTTAATTTAATGAATTTTGTCTTATCTCGTCGAAGAATAATTAGGGCAAAAAAAATAACTCCGGCAAATACGCCGCAAAAGTTAGAAAAAATAGTGGGGATAATTTTTCCGCAACTATTCTGTTACATGCCTTTATATTAATGTTGTATTAATATTGTGTTATGATTTTAGTTTCTTATTGTTAATAATAGTATTAAGGATTAAAAAAACTTTTTCTAACTTATTTTTAATTCGTATTTATTCGTATTTATCGCGATTACATTTTAAAAAGAAATGTAAAAATTGGCATAACTATCTGCCTGTACGAGCCTTGGAATTCTCGGGAATGGAATGACTGCGCAATAACTACGCGTAAACGTGACGCGTCGCCCCGTGCCACCCCGTGCCACCTCTCCCCTCCCAAGGCCGCGTGCCAACCATCTAACTGTCGAAATATTAACGAATATTATAAATAAGTGAAATAATATATTCTTCACATTTTTAATGTTCTCTGATCAATAGGCTTTATTACACAGTTTTTGCTTTATTTCTTAGATTCGTTATATATTCACGCAGCTCATGAATATCTTAGTTCAATTGTATTACAATAAGTGATTATCAGTTTATAATAACCCGGGAAAAAATATTATATATATATGAACATTTTGTACATAATTATATACATATATAATTATATGTAATTATATATGAAACATTTTTCCCGGGAACTTTATATTATACAAAATCCGCGCAGTGTATACAATATTTTTAATAAAAGATTGACGCCTTGCTATTTTTTTGTAATATTTGAATTACTGAATTCTATCATTCACGTTTTATTCTAAAATAAAAGAATTATTTAGTATTTATTATTTTAAATAAGTTTCTAGAATTTATTTAATATTTTTTATTTTAAATGAATTGTAATAGTTATTTTATCGAGTCATGATCAGCATAATAAAGAATTTAAAGAATTTTTGAAACAGAATAATTTGCAGTAATAGCAGTATCATAAATTAATTTTTTAGCTGAAAAATTAAATAATGATTAACAAGATATTTAATACTTTTAGCCGAAGCTAGTATTTAGCGCAAATTGTTTCACGCAATTGTTTAGCGCAATTGTTTTAGAATAAAAAAATTTGTATCTTTATATCAAGAATATATAAAATTATCAACCTTTATTTAAGTATTAATCATCATTTAAAAGAAATAAAAATTGAGACAAAATGTTGGAATATCAAAAAATTCCACGCAAACAATTATTAATTACGTTTACAAGAATCGCGCAAATAATAGGATTGAACAAGTGCTCGAGATGCACACACACACACACACAAAGCAAAGCGCAAGATATACGACGATATCTGTTTGTCAAAATCATATAAAATACGAATAATTAATAATTAATAAAAAATAAACCGTGAATATTTTTCATACGCAATAGTTGAATATCTAAACGGCGCTCGGTGAAAAGCGAGGGGAAGTATCACGCGGCGAAAAGCGTGGGGGAGGGGGGAGCGGGGAGCGTGCCGTGCGGCGCGGTGGTTGAGTACGTCATCACTTCGGCATTCGCTCGGCGACCTTGGAAGGAAATAGACGTGTGTTGCTCCGCATGTCGCGCATTAATTTGTATTAATCCACGAAAATTAGATATCCACAAACGCGAATTGATGAATTATATAAGGGTCCAACTAATAATGTTGCTCAAAACTACCTAAGGTGTGTACTAAGGATTATATCTCAATCTTTATTTCTTTCTTTGATAATTTACACTTAATTATGAATTATATAATACATTCTTTAAATAAGATAAATACAAATATTTTTTAAATTATAAAACAATTTGAACTCAATATAATAATGGATATAAATAAAATTCATATTATTAAATAATATACATTTACAGATATATAAATTATAGAGATATTTAAGGGCGATATTCATAATTCGTTCTTATTTTAAGACTGTCTTAAGTAATGTTTTAAGATGATAATACGACCCTTTGATTCATGACTTCTTAAGACTATACTTAAGACAGTCTTGAATATAAATATCCTCTGATTATGAATACTCGCCCAAGATATAGATGAATTGTATGCGTAATGAATCCAAAATATAAAACAAAAATTGTATAATAAAGCATCGTGTAATATTCATCGAAGAATATTAACACGAGATTATTTTACTGAATTTGTAATATGCGTTAACGTTAATATTTCGACAGTTAGACGATCGCGCAACCTTGAGATGGGTATGGTACGGGGTGGCACGGAGCAGTGCGTCATGTTTACGCGTAGTTACGCCGCAATCATTCCCTTACCGACGCTCGTATAGGCAGGTAAACATATGGCATGCCGCTCTTCTTTATATTTCTTTTTGAAACATAATCGCAAAAAAACTAAATATAATACGAAACGTTGTATTTTATGAATAATTTATCATACTAGTAGTCGTATTATGTGAATATTCATAAAATACAACGTTTCGTATTATATCTAGCATTTTTTGCGATTATTCATTTCAAAAAAAAATGTGAAGAGCGACACGCGACACGGCTACTTGTCTCACACGAATCATCAAAAAGGAAATTAATTTATGAATACTCTCATGCAATAATTTTTTATTTTTATTACCTTTCGATCCGTTTAAAAATTATCCGTAACTTTGGAACTATTTATCGATATAATAAAAGAAATTTCTCTTTTTTATTAATCTTTATTTCATTCTAGATTCTAATCATATCATCTATGTATAAATAAGATTCAGCTTTTTTATCTGCTTTGATTTTATTTCGCAATGATGACGAATTGCAGATGTGATATTCGTTTTTACAAGTTAACCGATTGCATAGTAATTGCATAGATAACAGCTATATATTACATTTTTCAGATTATCTTCTTTCTCACCTTGTACACCTCGACGTGATGAGAATCAGTACTCAGAGGACATTTATATGAAAAGAACGATTTTTCTCAAGTATCTAAAAATTTTCGGATATATCCGAATATATATCTAGATAAATTTTTAGATATTGAGTAAAATCGTTCTCTTCGTGTAAAAATCCACACGGGAAGCTAACGTATCCTCGTCGCCGATTTACTTAAAAATAAACGAACCGCAGCCGGTTCATCGCGTCGCGCGATTCGGGAGTGTCGTTCAAGTTATCGGACTCAAGTTATAGTCCGCGCGCGATTATATTATTCGCGAGTGTTATACGCAAGTGTCCTATGCGAGAAGATGACAACTATATTCTGAGAGGAGGAGGAGGTCTGGGAGAGACATCGAGCACCGGTGGAGCAACCTTATGGTAAATATTATTTTTTATTTGTGTAAAATTAACCTTTTTTGCTTGTTTTTAAATCATTATTAAATAAAATTATTTAAATAATTATAAAATAAGGAGCACCAAGTCGTTTCAATCAAACGAACTCTGAAAAGTGTAAATAGTAAATCTTTATTATTCTTCTATTATAATTTTACGGAACGTTTCGACCATACTAAGTCCTCATCAGTCGTGTTTATAAATAAAAATCCTTAACAATAATTTATATGACCATATTAAAAACTTAGAAATTAATTTCGATAACGATATAAAAAATATATTAATCGGATCATCTTATCCACAATCACAATATGTATTACAAATTCAACTATGTTATAATGAGTCAAATTATAAGGTATATAAATTGTAGATTCAAACCAATTCTTCGATTAACAGCGAGAAAGAGTAGTCAATATGGTCAGAAAATCCAATCAATAACTTAGTAGTAACATTATTTCCAATTGTATAAGATGATTGTATATACGAAAGATATATGTAACATCCACTTAATATCCGTTTATTCTCTGCACCATGGCTCATTATAACATGGTTTGTAATACATATTGTGATTGTGGATAAGATGATCCGATTAATATATTTTTTATACCGTTACCGAAATTAATTTCTAAGTTTTTAATATGTTCATATAAATTATTTTATAATGAAACGTTCCGTGAAATTATAATAAAAGAATAAATAAATTTACTGTTTACACTTTTAGAGTTCGTTTATTGAAATGAAATGGTAGAAGCTCTCTTTATTTTATTGTGAAATTTGAAATTTATACGAGCGGATTATCTAATATATTTAATATATTTTTTATTATAATTAAATAATTATATATTCTCTAAAATAATGATATATATTCTTTAAAATAATTATGTATATTCTCTAAAGAACATCTTAGCAAAAACAAATTTGTATACAATTTTAAAGTAATTTTTAACTTGTTAAAATGAAATAAAAAGAGAATTATTTAAAATACAAATTTATTTTTGCTAAGATGTTCTTTAGAGAATATATATAATTATTTATCTAAATTTTAAGTAACTTTCCTTTTATCTAAATTAGATAAAAAGAGAGTTACTTAAAAATTACTTTAAAATTTTATACAAATTTATTTTTGCTAAGATCTTCTCTAAAGAATATATATATAATTATTTTAGAGAATATATAGTTGTTTATATCTAATTAAACAATAATACAAAATTCGATACAAAAATTATATTTTCAAAATTGCATAATTATTTTTCAGCAAACTGCGTTCATATAGCAATTATTTTTTAAAGTAATGATTATTTCTTTATTCTGTTTTAATTTGGATTTTAATTTATTTGTTACAGAATCATCGTAGCGACATTGCAAATGTAACTCCACTATTGCGCATCGGGTTGGTGAGTGA